TTTTTTTTGTTGGTGCTATTTGAATTATGCAATAACCTCTAATCTCTCCTGCATTGCATAGACCAGAGTCAGGGATGGGCACAGATGGCAGCATGGGTCCTGGAGTGCCACAGCCAAATATGATGCCTTCCAATGCTGAATCTGGGATGTACTCACCAAATCGTTACCCTCCACAGCAGCAGCGGTCAGTCGACTACTCCATTTGTTTTATGGAGATTGTATTTGTATATCGGCTATATCTTTTATACTGATTTCTCCAACTTATGGTGCTTGTGCAGACATGATTCCTATAGTAATCAGTATCCTGGGCAAGGTGCGCCTCCTGGTGGTGCTTATCCGAATCAGCAGCCTGGAATGTACCCGCAACAACAATTGGTAGGAAAGCAGTTAATAGAATGATTTTTTAATTTTTCTATTTGACGTTAGTATAATGAATAAATGTTACTAAAAGTCTTGACATATATTTTATATAATTTGTTTACATTTTAGAACTACAAAAGGCCTGGTGATGGGAGCTACCCACCAGCTAAACGGCATCATGACGGTGAGATGTTTAGTGGGCCATACAATACTCAGCAGTCACAGCCACCACCACAGGCTCCCCCTAGTGGTCCCTCAAGTGGTCAGCAGGAAATGTTTAACCAGTATAACAGTTCTTACCCCGGTTCAGAGCGCCGTCCGCCCGGTCCTCAGAATCAGTTCTCTTTTGTAAGAGATCGGATGCAAGCAGGGACAGGCCCAAACTCCCAGGGTTCCATGCCACCTCAAATGATGGGCAGTCCAATGCAGTCTGGTCCTGACGGTCCTCAAGCTGGCATGTGGCCGGGCCGAGGTGATATGGGCTACCCCAGTTACCCTAACCGTCAAGGACCACCTGCTGGTCCTGGCCAGGGACCTGGCTACCATACAATGAACCGATCTGAAGACATGATGTCGTCTGAGCCACGCATGAATCATGATGGGCAGTGGCCTGGGCCACGACAGCCCCCTTATGGTCCTGGTAGCGCAGGTCCACCAATGAGCAGACCCTTGCAGTCCAACTACCAGTCTCCTCAAACCATGCAAAATCACATTCCACAGGTGTCAAGCCCCACACCCATGCCTCGCCCCATGGAAAGTAGGACTTCCCCCAGCAAATCACCCTACATGCCCAGCAATATCAAAATGCAGAAGGTGGGACCTCCAGTCCCTGCATCTCACATTGTACCTCCCTCAGTACAGCCTCCAATGATGAGAAGAGACCTATCCTTCCCTCCAGGATCAATTGAGGCTACTCCACCAGTTCTCAAATCGCGCAGGCGTCTTACCATGAAAGAAATTGGTAAGAGTTCATTGCGTGTTGTTGTGAATTACATTTTGGCCATTTATATGGCTTAGACCTGTGAGATATGGAAATATAACTGTATATAACTTTTGTAGGCACTCCAGAAGCATGGAGAGTCATGATGTCCCTTAAATCAGGACTGTTGGCAGAGAGCACATGGGCTTTAGACACCATCAACATCTTGTTATATGATGACAACAGTATTTCGAATTTCAACCTTATGCAGGTGAGTTGTTTTGGGGAAATGACATGTATTTTCCGTTATTTAAGTTTTCATCCTAAATAACATATTAATGTCTTCTTTTGTAGCTCCCTGGTTTCCTGGAATTAATTGTTGAGTATTTCCGCCGTTGTCTCATTGAGATCTTTGGGATTCTGAGGGAATATGAAGTTGGTAATCCAGGACAAAGAGCTCTGTTGGATCCCAGCGTGCTCAAAAAAGATGAAGACACAGTTGATGACGAGGTATTGGTGGAGGGCATGGAGGAAGATGGAGAAACGGAGGAGGAAGATGAAGGAGAGGAGATGCACAGGTTAAAACATCAAGAACAACATTCAGCACCGCTCCAGATAAAACAAGAAGAAATGCCAAGAATGCTTGATGACTCTGTAAAGAAAGAAGATTGCCATGGGATTGAAGGGGAGTCACCTGCAGAACCCAAGACTTCGGAGCCACCTTGTCTTGAGTTGGCTGTGGCTCAAGAGAAGCCTAAACAGGCTAGCAAGTTTGATAAGCTTCCCTTGAAGATTGTGCGAAAGAAGGATCCGTTTGTGGTGGACTACTCTAATAAGCTTGGCCGATTGCAGGAATTTGACAGTGGCCTTCTGCACTGGAGTATCGGTGGAGGTGATACAACAGAACACATCCAGACCCACTTTGAAAGCAAGATGGACCTGTTGCACCAACGGAAGCATCTACCTGCCCAGGTCCCAGACAAGAAGAGAGGAGCTCAGAAGGACAGCCAGGCACCTTCACTGCCCTCATCCAGTGAAGAGCACCAAAAAGAAGTGGACCGGCAGTCTCTCCAGAGTCATCCGGCAGCCTCTCCAGAGTCATCAACTGAGAAAGTGCCCAACGGAATTTCAGATTTGAGAGAGGACAGACCTGCTGACTGCTTAGAAACTTCCTCTGAGGGGAAATCACACCTAGAGAAAGATCCAGACAAGAAATTGTCAGAGGCGACAACTCCAGAAAACATTAGGCCAGCACCTCCAAGCCCATCATTACAGGGTCAGAGCTGCATTGCCATTTTAGAAGATGAGCCACACAGCAAGGATGAAGCTCCTCTTGTCACGCTCTCAGACTGGCAAGATTCCCTTGCCCGTCGCTGCCTTTGTGTCTCCAACATCGTCCGCAGCCTCTCTTTCATCCCGGGCAATGACTCGGAGATGTCCAAGCACCCAGGGCTGTTGCTATTGCTGGGCCGCCTGTTGCTTCTCCATCATCTGCATCCAGAGCGAAAGCAGGCACCTTTAACCTACGAAAAAGAAGAAGAGGTGGATGAGAGTCTTAGTAGCAAAAAAGATGAATGGTGGTGGGACTGTCTGGAGCTACTGCGGGAAAATTGCTTAGTCACTCTTGCCAACATCTCAGGCCAGCTTGACTTCTCAGTCTACACTGAGAGCATCTGCCTGCCTCTGCTGGATGGCTTGCTACATTGGGCCGTTTGTCCTTCAGCCGAAGCCCAAGACCCCTTCCCTAGTCTTGGGCTTAATGGCGCCTTGTCCCCCCAGAGACTAGTCCTGGAAACCCTCTGTAAGCTCAGCATTCAGGACAACAATGTGGACCTAATTCTGGCAACGTCACCTTTTAGTAGATTAGAGAAGCTCTTTGGGAACCTTGTGCGTCTTGTTGGAGAGCGAAAGGTGCCTGTTTGTCGGGAGATGGCAGTCGTGCTGCTGGCCAATCTTGCACAGGGTGACAGCCTGGCAGCCCGTGCCATTGCGGTACAGAAGGCCAGTGTAGGGAATCTGTTGGGTTTCTTGGAGGACAGCTTAGCGGCTACACAGTTCCAGCAGAGCCAAGGTTCCTTACTGCACATGCAGGGGTCACACTTTGAGCCAACAAGTGTGGACATGATGCGACGGGCTGCTCGGGCTCTGCTTGCCCTCGCTAAGGTGGAGGAGAACCACTCTGAGTTTACGCTCTATGAATCGCGGCTACTGGACCTTTCTGTCTCCCCACTCATGAACTCATTGGTGTCCCATGTCATCTGTGATGTACTCTTTTTGATAGGCCAGTCATGACAGCTGTGCGGAGCTATGGCTCCACCTTCTCTGGTTTTCGTACTTCCCCCTTGCCTGTCCTCCCCATTTGTGAGTGGGGATTGAAAGCAGAGAAAATTGACTTTCTTTTTTTTTCTTTCTTTCTTTTTTAATTTATGCAAGCCCTTTCATATTACACCCACTGGTCCCCCTTTTCTCAGCATCTCACTTTGGGAAGGTTGTCACGAATTTGCTGTGGTTCATGAACCAGAGCCTCAACACACTGACACAAACTGTAACACTGATGCCAACTAGATGACATGGACAGGGACCCCAACTTTTGTGTCCTTGTCTGAGGTGAAATAACTTTTTATAATAAAATAAATAAATGAATAAAATAAATAGCTTGAAAAAAACAAAACAAACTATTTACCAAAGTTGCTGTCTTGTTTACAGTAAGTTTTGGGGTTAATTGTTCTTTTGTTCTCTCCCAGAGGGTGCAGATAATACACAGCTCTTGTTCACATTAACAGGTAGACTCTTCATTGTTTGGTGGTTGTATTTTGATGCTACACGGTCAAACTTTCTGGACGCGTGTACAGCAGAAATGAGTTATCATTTTCTGTACATTACTCCACAACTGTAAACATACTGCAAACATACTGCACTGTTCCACATGGGGAAAATGTTGGCTCAGTCAGCTCCGTTTTTAAACCATTAGTTTGCTGGTGAGGAGAATAACCCCCCCAAAGTATCAAGGACGTACAACACCCTGACCTCTTCTCTTTAACCCTTGATTGTATGAATTGACCCCTATAAATAAATCACCTCCTAGGACTGGTTTTCAACTTAAGATGCGGCCGAGGCTGTACTGTATATAAGATGTTGTACATTTACACCTCCTTTTCTCTCTCTGTCTTTCACACACTCTTGCTTCTTATCCCTTTTTATCCTTGAAGAATAAGAGCGGACACTTGAGTTGGGTTAATTGCATCAAAATCCCTAGGTATATAAACTAAACCATCTTTTGGCCTCCACGGTTCCTCTATAGTGCAGCAAACAACTGAAATATTTTAATTTCTTCTCCTGGTACAACAAAATAACTCTAGATGAAGAACACAGTTGAGATATTTTTTCTCCAGTGATATGAATTCTGCATATTTGTATTTCAGACTATGTAGCTTAATGTAAATTCCTTGTTTTTTCCCCTTTTTGGCTCAATGAATATCATTTATTCACTATGAAATCTTTATACTATATGTTCCACGTGGTAAGAATAAATGTACATTAAATCTTGGTAAGATGTTTGTGATTATTTTCATTTAGATGTTTTATTTTATTTAATAAAGTACAGTCCATTTATCATAGAATGTGATTATGAATGGATGGTTAAATCAAATCAAAGTTTAAACGTATTTTTTATAACGTTGTCTTTGTATGTTACAAATTAGTTTAAGGAGCAAGATTTAATATTACTCTGATAGCCTACTATTGTTTAATATTATTAGTTGAAAGGAATGAATATTTCATAGTGAGACCATGAAAAGCTGAAGCAAAATATACATATTTTCTTCGTTTATGAAGTAGAAAAATAATTGAATGGTTAGCTATTCTGAAGTTATTCATTAGATAAGTAATATATTATGAATGGTTTATATAAGGTATCGGTTAAGGTAATGGGACTTTTATTTTGACATAAATATGACTGCATGACGGAAGTGCGTGTCATTACTTCTATCGTTCCATTTAGTGGCTTTATGAGACGAATTTAAAAAACGTAAATACAATCTATTTTGTTTTATTAGACTGCGACAGCGATGTTTTTTGCTGTTACAAACTCAATGGAAAAAAAAGAATATTGCCATTTTTGTCTCATTGTGTTTTAAGGATGCCTCGCTTATCGTATCTGGTAATTTACTGAGCCTATTTTGATTATTTTCAGTGAGGGAAATGTTTTGTTTTTGTTGAAAGTTTCTGTAAAACATGTCACCCTCAAATTGTGAAAATCAAGACGTGTGGACAGTTGTACAGTTTGCAACGTTCACGCGACTGCTTTCTCTATTTTTACAGGTAAGCAACTGACATGAACGACTGAAATAGACTAAAATAAAATTATGTATTTGTACTTGTATTCTGCATGATGTCTTCATTTATTACTTGATATAAGCGCCATGAAATAAGCGCGATTAGAGTGACATACTGCAGAAGTGGGTATATGAAAACTGCTGTTTGTTTTGTGCCCCTTTGCAGACTATACTGAATGCAGTGATTCCAGACCATGTGGCAGATGCCTTTAGCCCTCCGCGATCAGAGACCCCTCTCCTGCTTGACCCTGTCATCGAAGCATTATTTGGCGGCCTTAGTCACTGGGATGCAGAGCATTTCATCTTCATTGCAGAACGTGGATACTTATATGAACACAATTTTGCATTCTTTCCTCTGTTTCCTCTCATCCTGAGATTACTGGCAGCCACGGCTTTGTGGCCTATGTGTGGATTTCTCACAATGCATGGCCGATTAGTTTTAGCTGTGGCTATAGGCAATAGTATTCTTTTTGTCACAAGTGCCGTGGCATTATACAAACTGAGTCGTTTGGTGGTGCAGAACAGAAAACTTGCCCTTGTTGCAGTCTTGATGTACTGTCTGACACCAGCTAATGTTTTTATGGTTGCAGGCTATTCAGAGACTCTCTTTGCAGCTCTCACCTTCTCAGGCCTCTGGTTACTAGAGAAAAGATTCACAATAGGAGCTTGTCTTCTGCTGGGGTTTGCTACGGGTGCTCGTGCCAATGGGCTAGTGAATGCTGGATTTTTGCTGTATCTCTCTTTGCAATGGGGTCTTGCCCGTACCCGGGCCTTTAGCAAAGGAGAAGGGTGCGTTCGATATCGTCACTATGTCTGGGAGCTTATTCGTTTTGTGCTCATAGGAGCATTTTATGCAGCTCTTGTAGCGCTACCTTTTTGCCTGTTTCAGTTCTATGGTTACCAAACATTTTGCCATCCAACTGCTACTGAAGTTCCCCCTGTGCTGCTTAATTTGGCCCGGGACAAAGGATACCGTGTGGCTGATGCAGACTCTCCAACACCAAGATGGTGCCAATGGCGAATACCACTTTTGTATTCGTACATACAAGACGCTTATTGGGATGTGGGCTTCCTTCGATACTTTCAATGGAAGCAGATACCCAACTTTATTTTGGCGCTGCCTGTTGCAATTCTGGGGTCCATCGCCTCATGTATGTACATATGGACTAACCCAGTGTTTTGTATGTTTTTGGGTTTGGGACACAGAGGAAAAGACAGAAAACTGCATGGCTTCTGTAACCCAAAAGTCTTTGTTTACATTGTGCACAGTTCTGTCCTTCTCCTTTTTGGGATTTTCTTTATGCATGTGCAGGTAAGATTATTGAAATTGATCATTATTATGTGACTTGTAGTATACTTGCTCAACATGCCTTGTTTTATTGTGTCCTCTCAGGTGTTGACACGGTTTCTTGCTTCCTCTTCGCCTGTGCTCTACTGGATCAGTGGCCACCTGCTTTTTCAGTATGAACCTCTGCTGCAAGATGAAAGGCTGTTCAGGCCTGACCAAATACAACAACAAAAGGATCACAAACCTCGCTTAAGATGTGCTGTGGGGATGTGCAGAAATAATCAAGTCCTTTACCTCTTGATGCAATGGCAGTCTTGCTCAGTTTATACACGATGCATCCTAGGGTATTTCATATCATATTGGTTTTTAGGTCTGGCTCTGCACTGTAACTTCTTTCCCTGGACTTAACGTTACAGGAATGCAATTAGCTTGTTTCAGTCTTCATAACATTCCTCTGCCCTGGTTTTGAATTATATTATTGCTGCTTGGCAAATATCTTTGTAATTAATGCATTTTATTATTTTAAGACGTTTCTGGTGTTCCTTAAATGGCTAATATATATTTTTGTATTGGATAACTATTTAATAAATATCCTTTTTGGATTGTTTACAAATTAGTCCTGTATCTTTTTTCTCTTCTATTAGGAAAAAAAAAACAACCTTAGGCAAACTATATGCTGTGCTTTAATGCTAAGTTACTTTTGATATCCATAAAAAATATAAACTGACTGTAGTTTAAAAAGACTGTAAAAAATAGGTTTGCACATGGTCACATCACAAGATCTCTGTTATATTGTGTTGTATCACCATCTAGTGGATACAAAGTGTCTTAAGTGGTGTATTCATATAAAAATGGTCAAAAAAAGAGTCTGTGACTGTGACAGTTCCAATGTTATTTTAATATTATTTATTTACTGTTAGTATTTAACAGTAAAGAATAGTATTTATTAATATTTTAGTTGGCCTTTTTTGTTAATTGGACCAGCTTTACAAAACAACAACAACGTGCCCTTTGCTTTATTTATTTTTTATTTTTTTTAAAGGAGAACAAGAAGTTGGATCACTTTGGCCCATTGTATTACATTCATATTTGGGATATTTTGCATATATTTGTTACATTTTAAATTTTTGTTCAACAAATAAGGATCAGAAAAAAACTATACAGAGGGTGTGGTAGTGTCTCGGAAGTGATCTTTCATTGGTCTGACTTAGATGACGCATCCCTTGCGAGTCATCATTGGTCGCTTTCTTCAGGTAGTCCTCGGCTAGGGAAGTAATCGTACTGAGGTAAATATTGTTGTATCTCATCCATAGCTTAACGCTCGGTTATATTAGCTCTTAGAAAATTATAAACAACATAGTCTGATCTAATTTTTGATTCCCATCAGACTCGTTGCGGTTGGACAGCGATTGGGCAGCGCGAGGAGCCGAGTGTCGTTCAAATGACGATTGAACAGCGCGTGAGGAGTAATGTCCGCTGAGATAGTTGACAGCTAACGTTAGTCAAAAAGCTAACGCAATTAGCTTGGCCAAGAGACTCCTAAGTTATTGAAAGCAACAACATGGCATGATAATATAATAATTGTTCATCGTTATAGTCCCTATAGGGGATGTTTAGTTCCAAACGAATGCATTGAGCAACGTATTATGTGCTATGTGGACTTTCAGTTAACGTTAAATGAGTTCAGTAACGTTAAGTGTTAGTTGTTTGTTCTATTAATATTAGCAGCACGTCACGGTAAGTGAATTGTCAGTACATTTCTGACGGTATCTTTAATAATTTGTAACAAGTTAATTTAACCTGTTCTTAAGGTTACGTTACATCTAACGTTACGAACTCTAGACCGTCAGTTATTTTCTGAAAATGAAAAACTGTGAGTATCAACAAATTGACCCACGAGCGCTCAGAACATCAACCACCGGAACGTCCTCCACCCTGCCCTGTGGGAGGAAAAGCTCCCAGCGCTTGCGGAGAAAATGGGAGATTTTCCCTGGGAATAATCGCTTCTACTGTGATGGTCGTATTATGTTGGCCAGACAGTGTGGTGTGCTCCCGCTGACCATCGTCCTTATTGTCATCACCAGTGGCTTATTCTTCACATTTGAGTGAGTAGAATGCACTTACTCACAGAGACCCCAGTGTGCACACTGCTAGACAATGCTACTATTTTTGACAATAGAGACATCTCCACCACCACCACCCTAAGAGTTGCATCTGCATGGTCATGGTTTATCATCAGAAAGTAAGCTTTTTAAACCATGTTTGTATCAGCTGATAACTTTGTTCTTGTCTTTGTGCTTGATTGATAACAGTTGCCCCTTTCTGGTGGATCACCTCACTATCTTCATTCCAGTAATCGGTGGGGTGTTATTTGTATTTGTCATCTTCACCCTCCTTCAAACCAGTTTTACAGACCCAGGGATCTTACCCAGGGCTTTGCCGGATGAGGCTGCGGACATAGAGAGACAGATTGGTGAGGCATTGAATATGTACTTTGTTATTTGTTTTAATTTTGCCTTTTAACTAGGGATGTCCCGATCCGATCCACGGCATCGGTATCGCGCCGATACCGGCCCAGAACGCTAGATCGGAGATCGGAGGGGAGAAAAAAATATGAGCGATATCCAGTTTAGCGGCGCAGCCTGTCACGTGATGATTGTTGTGTTTACGCACACGCGCGCAGAGAATCACTCTCGCTTTGCGTGTCAAGAGCGAAACTGGCGAGCGTAAAGTTTGAAGCGAAATTTACGCGCGTGACGCGCGTCAGAATCAAAATCCGTTGGCGGTCATTGTTTTTATGTCGACCGAGCATTCATCAAGAGAGTTACCGCTCTGTATTTACTCTGGATAGCAGAACAGCGGCGTGGGGATCATCGTCGCCGTATATTTGTGTCCACCGGACCCTTCGGAGCCGAACCGTTTGGCGAGTTTCACCATTCGCTCGCTCCAGGAGCTGCGCTGGATGACGGCCGCTGTCTGCGGTACTTCCGCCTGTCCCGCGCCCAGTTTGATGACCTGTTGTCCCGCATCTGAGCGAGGATCACCCTCGCCCGGCCCCTCATCCATCTAATCTAGCTGTCATTTATTTTTGTTTTGATAATAAATAGAGCCAGCCTTCAAAAGTTATTAACCTGTCCTGTGATTTTTTTCTCTCTCTCACGTCCAGACACGAATTTATGCACATATGTTGATTGTCTTTACAACATAATACTATTTCTAGATATGGAATGAATAACATTCAATACAAAATGAACATGTCTCCATATAGAAATAATGTTTTAAGTGATGAAACATTTGCTTTGTTGTGCATAATCCCACCATGCATTTAGTCATATTAACAAAATAATTTATTGAAGCATCCAGACACTTCACCACGTGAGCAAGCAGCTAGGCTCCTGATTGGTTAACGCGGCGCGAATTCACGCCAAAGTTCAGCCAACTTGACGCGCGGATGAGGCGTATTCGCGTCTTCCGCGCCGCGCTCCACGCCTCATTCGCGCCGCAGGAATTTTTCTTGCATTGACTTAACATTGAAATCATTCGCGCCTGACGCCCTATTCGCGTCCGGTGTGAACGTAGCATTAGTGCGTCGAAGTTGTGATAGCGCTGTCGGCTAACGCGAAATGCTACTATTTACATTCCATGGATGTTTATTCATATATACAATTGTTTTGGACTAAAAACTTCTTCAAATTGGATTGTATGGACGCTTTACAGTGAAACCAAACCATTTTTGTTGGAATGTGGACTAACAGATGGCTAATTGGTGAGTTTCTTCCAGTTTGTGTTGGTTTGTTTTGGCTGTTGGTGGTCTGACAAAGAGACAGATTGTGCCCGCTGTGTTGATTGTATCTTAAAATGGTTTACGTCGTTCGAATCACGAGTTTCTCAGCTTTCCAAAGATATGTATTATGTTTACTTTTGTGTTTGTTTTGTTTTGTCTTTCACAAAGTTAAACCTATAAACCACCCTGTGGGCCGTATACGGCACGTCGGACCACGAAAAAAAAATATCGGACTAATATCGGTATCGGCAAAAGCCAAAGGTGCGGCATCGGTATCGGTATCGGAAGTGAAAAAGTGGTATCGGGACATCCCTACTTTTAACTTGTATATTTTTATAATAAAATTGTGGGTTTCTTTCAAGATAATTCTGGATCTTCAACATACCGTCCACCTCCCCGCACTAAAGAGATACTCATAAATGACCAGGTGGTAAAGCTTAAATATTGTTTCACATGCAAGATGTTCCGTCCGCCCCGGACATCCCACTGCAGCCTGTGTGACAACTGTGTCGGTAAGAAAGGATTTTTTTTAGCATACAAAGTTTTTGCATTTAAAATGTAATAATATTCAATATTTCATTTAGAGATTAAATGTTATCTCTATCACTCACCTGTATTTTATTCTAAACCCCAAATGAAATGATGACTTGGTTGCTGTTTTTTCATGCAGTTATTAAATGGAAATTTTGTAATGATTTACTCACCCTCATGTTGTTTCAAATCTGAATGTTCTGTGGTAACATAAAATAAGATATTTTGTGAGGAGTGTGTTTTTTTTTTTTTTTTTGTCCACAGAATAGTTTTTGTTTTCAAGTTTGTTTTATTTGTAAAGCACATTTAACACAGCTGACCAAAGTGCTGAACAAAACAAAACAAAAAAACCCCAGAAGAAACCACAAGTCATTTGGTTAATTTGTTTGAAACCTTTGGTTAATTTGTCTGAAACATTTACTGTGCTTTTTCAAGTACCCATTTATTGTAATTTCATGGAAGGAAGTCATGCTGGTTTAAAAACCTATGGGAGTCTTTAAAAGCTACAAAATATAATGTTGCATCTGTGGTGCAATCCCTTCCTTATAATCATTGCATGAGAATGCACGGAGGTTTCTTGTAAGTGTTGTGTCTCATTATGTTCTGCTCTGTTCCCCTTGTAGAGCGGTTCGACCATCACTGTCCTTGGGTCGGGAACTGTGTTGGAAGGCGCAACTATCGCTTTTTTTATGCCTTCATAGTGTCACTATCATTTCTGACCTCCTTTATCTTTGGCTGTGTGATTACTCACCTCACTATACGTAAGTTTTACCACAGTCACTTTCACACAAAAACAGCCTTGGTGGTTGTGTAATATAGTTGTCAGTGGGGAGATGAGATTTGAGTGCATGTGTATACATTGAAATCGGGTTTGTTCAAATAATGTACAATACTGTTCAAAAGCAAAGTCAGTAAACATCTTTTTAAGAGAAATAAATATTGTTATTCAGAAAGGACTAATTAATTTTGATCAAAAGTGAAAGGAAAGTCATTCATTATAAAAAAAAAATTCTGCTTTGAACTTGCTCTGCTGAAAGAATTTTAGAAAGAATGCATCACAGTTTCCGCAAGAATATCGCAGTGTTTCAACAGTGATAATAATATGAAATGTTTCTTAAGCATCAAATCAGCATATTAGAATGATTTCTGAAGGATCATGTGACACTGAAGACTGAAATAATGGCTGCTGAAAACTCAGCTTTGTTATCACAGGAATAAATTACATTTTTGAAAAATATTAAGATTGAAAACAGTTATTTTAAATTGCAAAAAATATTCCACATTATATTTTTTCTTTAAAATGTCAATATCGATACCGGTTTCTGACCGATACCTTTTTCGATACCAATTTTATGAAAAGATAATGTTATAGCAGAGGCTGTAACATTAAAATTTGTTTTCAAATTAACTGTATTATTATTATTATTAGTTGTAGTAGTAGTAGTATTGCACTAATGTGTACATAATACTGTACAAAAGTAATATATTTCTATTTCAAACTTTTATTTTGACTGGTTGCCGTGTAGACCTTCTGTTATGGTATGATAGTTTCTCTCAAATTAAATGTTGTCAAAGTGAGTATATTAAACCGCAAAAGGACGATTTAAATATGAATCCTGTAAGTTCTGCGTATCTCTGTGTTTATGAACGGCGGTGCTCTTCTGTGACATTCATTGCATCGTGCGCTTTTGCTGTCAAGTCGAAATAAACTGGTGTTTTTCTTTAATGCCTCGCCACAGCCAATCACCAGTACTTGATTTGTGCACATCATCCATCCTGCATGCTTATTGTTTCACTGATGTTGACAAGATATAGCCCCAAGGTATCGAAATTTGGACCTTTTTTGATACTCAATGGTATCGAGGCAATTCGGTCGGTGCCTAAAAAGTATCTAACTCAATACCCAGCCCTAGTTACTTTGTATTTTGGATTAATTAAATGCACACTTTTTAAAAGTACTGTAGATACGTTTGAGATTGTGTTTTGACTGACTTATTGTGAGTACATTTTGAAGCAGTTTTGTTCTCTGATCAGTTACTTTTGTCAACAGGATCACAAGTTGCAGGCGGTATCATCCAGGCAATACAGGACAGGCCAGCCAGATATCCTTTTTTACTGTGGTAACAGTAAGCAGACAATAGCACGGCTGACAGAGTTCATTATATGTTTAAACTGCTGTTGGTTCCGCCTATTTCCTAATCCCATTCATCCCTAATCGGCTCAAGGATTCCACCACGCCCTTCTCTCCTGTCAGGACGGCAACAGCTGCCGCTAGATACAGATTTTGCTGGTGTCCAGCCCCCTTTTAAGTTTGTGGCAGAGACTATATCACACCTAGCCTGGTTAAAGTTGTAACTGAGTTATGGTCTGGCAAAGCGTCATAGACAAATTATTTCCAGAGGGGCGTCACCAACGGTCGTCACGAGTGGACCTAAAACCAATCAGAGTGACGTATGCAGAGCGGCGGCCGGCGGAGAAACATCTCTGAGTGTTGTTCTTTGCTCGGTTTTTACCAAAAAGGAAACGTTCAAATCGCTTAAATTAGACGCGATAGCTGATTCGAACGAGCTGATGTTCGACAGCGGCATCCATCTTTGTAATGTAGGCTACAAAATCTGCAGCGCTGTCGTCATCGTGTAAAGCCTGCCCCAATGTTTCTGATTGGTGCTGCGATTTCGACAGATTGGAAATGGGCTTGAATGAGCTCTTTGCCAGACTAACTTTCAGAGCAAATCTAAATTTGCTGGAAGTTGACTGGGTTTTCCCTGGCTATATCACACCTATAACGATAACATCAACAAAAAAAAAATGAATTAAAAAACTGAAACTGATTTTTTTCAGGTTTTTTTTTTCAGTTTCAGTTTTTTTTTCTACTGATTAGCAAGAAAAACAAAGACAGCAAGTAAGAATCCACCAGACTTGAAATAGCTTGAAGCAGGAGAGAAGAAAATTACAGCTCATGCTTAGATTAAACAAAACAATGTAATCTTGTTCTTGGTGTGAATGGGCCTTTATAATGTTTATCTGGACACTGACACAAATTTACAACATATTTTCACCCCTTAACCCTTCCTGCACTGTTGTGGAGCTGGTCATTTGCTTCTTCTCCATCTGGTCCATTCTGGGTCTGTCAGGTTTCCATACTTATCTTGTGGCCTCCAACCTCACAACCAACGAAGATGTAAATATCACCATGAATGCATAAATTGAATCGATAATATCAAAAAGCTATATAATCAAGTATTTAATAATGTAATCAATACTTATCGTTTAATTGCAGCGTTTTGTACATTGCAGATCAAAGGCTCTTGGTCCAGTAAAAGAGGTGAAGATTCAGGGAATCCCTACACCTATAGCAACATCTTCACAAACTGTTGTGTGGTGCTGTGTGGGCCAATACCACCCAGGTAAGTACCGCAGATGTTTAAAAATGATAAGTATTTGAGTTTGTTAATGAGTAAGTGAAGGATGTCAACTGCTTGTCATTTAGCTTCAGACTGATGTACAGTTTCTCAGCCATGACATGTTAGTTGTGCAATTCTTTGACGACTTTCCGAGGTCAGTCTATGCTTTGTTTTGAAAGTCCAGTCAAAATAGGTCACGCACTCATCTTTTTCATCTTTTACAGCTTGATTGACAGAAGAGGCTTTTTACCTCCAGATGACGCACCTCAAACTGTGACCTCTGATGCTGAGCTCCCTCCTTTCATGGCCAAGAATGACACAAACATGGTAAGAGTTCCTCTAGTGTTGGTTTCGTTGACGAAAATTATGACTAAATATTGCCATCGACGAACCTTTATCACGTGACGAAAACGAGACGAGATGCAACGTAAATGATGGTCATGTGACGATGACTATCATTAAATGTATAATGCAATATTGTTGACGAATAAAAAACGACACAATGTGGTTTACAAAAAAAAACTATGCTAAAATGTCTCTTCATTTTTGTTGACCAAAACGAGACTTGCATTATTATTATGCAGCATTTCTGTTTCCTGTGTCACTTCAGGGGCTGCATCAGATCGCACTTCACATCCTCAAGCCCATTATTTAGAAAATGCGGCTGCGGGAGTTACGGCTGTTTCACACATACTCCGTGTGTAGTGCGTATGCGATGCGTGTTGCGGTGTGTATGCAGGAGCAGCATGCGCTATTGTGCTTTAACATGTGCTGCGTTTGCAGTACGCAACTGATCTACGGCTGTTCCACCATCACAACATTAATTCTCTATTTTTAATTTCAAATCAATGTTTTTAGCCTACATCCATTATGTTGTGTTGTTGAGGTACTATGTAGATCTCTGCTCTGCTGTTATGTACGCACCACTCCTGGAGCGCATTGCCGGACCGCATCCGCGTGCGGTGTGAACGCTCTAACCATAGGCTATTAATGGGTGCGGGAAAAATACACACTGCAAGCGGAGTATGTGTGAAACAGGCGTTAGCATAAATGACAACAAACAAAGTTAAGTCTGACACAGAGAAAGGGATTTGTCTTTGGCAGAAAAAGAAGAAATGATATTTGGAAAAACTTTCATTTCATCATGTGTGTAGGCTACTTCTAACATGTTTGGTTGGTAAAAAAAATATGTTGTAAATTCAAATCAGAGCGTCTTCCATGTCTGGAATGGATCTATTCTTGAGTCTATAAGCTAACAATAATATAATAACATAACTATCAGAAGATAAGATTGTTTAAAATGGGTTTGGCTAAAATAAAAATACTACTAGGTACTTAGACTATATTGACTGGGTTAAATAGATTTGCATTACTAAAAAGAGACTAAAATACAATTTTCATCAGTTTTTGTCGACTAAAACTAGACTGGAATAAAGAGTATGGACGTGATTTCTAATAGAAATAAAAATGACAGATTGACACAAAGACTAGACTAAAATTAAAACAGGCCTCCAAAAACAACACTAAGTGCCTCGTCATGTGATATCTTCAAGTCGGAGCATTAGTTACAAAATCATAACATAAAGAGGGTTTTTTTTAACAGTTAAAGCGTTGTAGCCAGGGGATTTTTATTTGTTATTTTTTTTACATTACACTGGTGCTACAGAGGTTGAAGATTTTGTAGCACAGGCCACACAATTGTTCCACAGGTATAAAACAGGCATATTTTTCTTAGTATATGTCACATATACATGGCTGTAAAGCCCTGGTAGCTATGGTATAACATCCTCATGCATTACTGCATCCACCATCCACCAAAAAGCATTCTGTGGCATTTCAATCCATAAACTACCGTTTAAAAGTTTGGGGTCAGTAAGGTTTAACTTTGACTTTTACAGTTACAAAAAATAAAAAATAAACAATTTCAAATAAATGCAAAATCAGACGCAACTGTTTTAACATTCATAATTATAAAAAATATTTCTTAAGCTGCAAATCAGCATATTAGGCTATATATATTACGGCTGCTACAAATTCAGCTTTGCCATCTCTGAAATAAATTGCATTTTATAATATATTACTATAGAAAACGGCTATTTTGAATTTTATTAGTATTTCAGTGTTGCAGTTTTTCTTAATCAAATAAATGAATCCTTTGTGAGCATAAGAGTCTACTTTCAAAAACATAGTCTTAATGTCCTCAAACTTTAAACAGTAGTGGAAATATAAACAGAAACCACAATTTTAACAGATCTGAAACTTAAGCTTTGACATAGAAAAGCATGTGAAACTGCATGTGAGGTTATCCAAGTTTAATCATATTTATTAACCCTGGCTATTGATGTCTTGCTGGGAAAGAGTTACACTTAATGATCCTCATGTGTGAAGATATGATTATGCACAAAAATCAAATCTAGAGTGTTACAAATCTAGAGTGGTGTGAAATCATGCCAAGGAGGATATTTTAAAAATGTATGTTTTTAATGCTCTTAGCTTGGAAAAAAAGTCCACAAATACAAATCATATTAGTTTATTGTGCTGTTTTGATATTGACCTCCATCAAGCCCTGATGTTTGAAGTTATAAACCTTACACAGGAGGAGAACTGTCAGGAGTTTGCGCTCTCCTGCACTGCCTGAAGGCTCCTGCTGCTCACTGACGTTCAATGGTAAGGGTGTGTTATGGGGCTGCTTGCATGCCATTCGTGACCACCTTCTCATGACTCGTTGGCTGTCTGCTTGGCTTCCATTTCTTTGCTTAAAACATGTCCCTCATGAGAGCGGAAATCATTAATATCGTCGTCTGTTCTCTGTTCCTTCTTTCTCCTGAATGAGTTGAGTGTTTTAGCTGACATCTGTTTTTACTCCATTTTATAATGGTCATGTGTTCATATATTAGTGCTCGCCAGAGGTCTGCAGTTGTTTTGTTTTTCCTCCATTATGTCATTGTTTCCTAACTAATGTATCATCATCAAGATTCGTCTGTGCTTATCTCGCTTTCATCCAGTCTTGGGATTCTGACGACTGAGGTCATGCTAGTTATCATGCGCATGTGTTCTTTTCCACCTCTTCTCATGATGGATGTTTATCCTGATGTTAAGGAAGAGTTTTCATCCTTTTGTGACCCCTGGAGAACCACTTATAAAATCAGCTTCATCCATTGGAAACCGTAAAACAAGCTTGGTTTCCACATTTTCTTCTCATTCATTTCCTGGCAGTACTAACCTACTTTCATCTTTATTCTGATTTGGCTAGCTTCTCATACTCATGCTCTTCTGCGTTAACATCAGTTCGCACTTGCATACCCTATAAAGTATGACTGTGAGTGTGATCTAATATGTCTTTAGTCTCTTACCCTTTTTTGTTGCCATTTTTTTTGCAGTGCACACAGGGCACAAAGGAGTTTATAGAATCAATGGCACACTCTACAGTGATCCAGAGCACCTGCACTCCAGGCACACCCAAAACCTCCCCGGTTACCCAAGAGAGTCCACTAAGTACCGTCTCCATCATGGTCTCTCCCCCCAGCAAGCCTTCCACCGGCTGCTCAGGCCGCCAGGCCCGACGCCCCACAGACATGCCTTGCCCCCAGAGAGGGAACAAACGGGCTGCTCTTCACACACACAAACCCGTGTTGCATCTACCCAGCCCCCCATACTCCCTCGGCCACAGTCCGCTCTTTTTTAGTGACGCTCCCGACATGGGCTTTATCCCACTGAACTGAGCGCAGTATCTCAGCCACCAGCAGCCTTGTGCAAATATTCTCCTCTCTGTTATCGCTTTGAAAACAGCAACACACCTTTTAAAAAACTGTGACGTTCTATACTCAGGATCCTCTCAGGAAACATGCCATCTTTCAACAAATGAGAATAAGCCTGGATTGATTTTTTTTTTTTTTATAAAAGAGCGATTTCAAAATTTTTGTTCCGTTATCATCAACATACACAGAACTGCAAAACATCTTTAGTAGATGCATTTGGTTTTAAGTCCTTTTGCACAGAAATATCAGCAGGTGATCAGTGTTTTATGGAACCTCAAGCCATTTGTTCAGCCTTTTGCCATTGATGCAATAATTATATGCTTTGAAAGGTCACTTGGGTCTAAAAACAGCCGTATTTCAGAGTCACTTGTTCATTTCTCTTGATTTTGTGTGGCGTTAAAGACCTACAATAAAGTCATTGGTTTAAAAATATTTGCACCAACAGTATCCGAGAGCTCAGAATTTGAGTGTTATAGAGTTACCTTTGTATTTGATACACTGTTACTTTTGATCCAGAGCTTATCATCTCCTGTATAATGTTGTGACTTCTAGTGAATTAACAGCATTTATATTTCTGCTTATTTTGTGCTCTTTTAATACAGGGTTTTTCCTTCTTTGAAAATTTCTTTGGTGGCTACCAACGTGAAAATTTGTGTTTCCTAAAGCAAATAATATTAGCCTTTGATGCGGTATTTTCCCCATCAGATCGTTGTCTCTTTATCCTGAGTTCTACGTTTTGAAATGGAAAGTGTTACAGCACAACGCAAACAACAAATCATAAAACCTGTGTGACCCATTGAGGTGTCAAACACCTTAAACAACTAGTTAGCCCTAAATTCATAATCAATAATCTCTGGGATGCAAATGTGGAAGTTAACTTGTTTTTTTCTTTTCTTCTTCTTACAGTTCTGAAAGTTTTACACGTGACGTTAGTTTGACTTCCTTGAACATTTTGAGGTAGGAAAATTGGTAACACTCGATTGTAGGTAACTAATGTATCAAGATCTAACAATGAAATCTATACATCCACTGCATTTGTTAATGTTAAATTCTACGTATAATAATACTTTAACTAATGATAGTTTATACAACTCGAAATGTTAATGTATTATGAACAAACATTAACTACAACTTAGATTAATACATACAAAAGTTTTTAATTTTTAAGCCTACGAAATTTTACCTTCTTGCAAAGTGTTACCAAAAATTGTCAAATTCATAAAGTTCCAGATGCTTAGATCTCTTATATCCTACGTAAATATAATAACAACTAGAATACATATTATGATGCTTATTATTATTAGTTATTTGCATTTAGTATAATCAATAAAATTTGCACGTCTATGTATTGTAAGATACCACTTAAAATAATTTTTAATCTAGGAAAAACCCTGTAGTATTTCTGATTTTTTATTAGTGGGTCAAAAAATGTTTTCTGATTGTTTTTATTAAAGTGTTTTTACTAAGCTTGTTCGAAGAACTGTTATAACTGAAACCTTTTGCCTTGAAATTGATCAATGATGAATTATGAGTCAGTTACATGTACATCATCATCAAGACAGTTTTTCTTTTATAAAGAGTCTGGCACATTAATAAAGTTGACCGTATAAGTTGAAATGTCTTGCACATCTAAGAACTAGTCCTTAAATAGAAGTTTATCACTGCCAGCAGTGTTTGAGGGAAAGTAAAAGAATGTATAACTTTTCTTGTGTTTTGTGTTACTATCCTTTTTCACCTGAAGACTTAAAGTAATAAACAAATGTTCTTTCTAAAGGTTATTTATTTGTATGAATGCTTTCATCTGATTTTGAGGGACACAATCATAACATCTTTTGTTACTTTCTGTGTTACCAGACAGGGCACGTTCATTTAAACAGTAGATGGCACAGTTTTCCACTTCTTGTTTGCATGCGTCACATGAGGAGTTTGTTTCTCCTGGAGGCATTGTTGATTGATTGCCTGTTTGATTGACTCAAGTATTTGCATTCACAGTACTTGAGCTTTTTTGCATGTGGTATTTGGCTTTACCATAGTGCCATCAAGCTGACATTTCTGGTTTGGATATGGGAAATGATTAAAAGCATAATAGCGGGGTTGCTGCATCCTCTCTCTTTGTGTAAGCTAGTCTAGACTTTCAAAAAGTCAGTAGGGAAGAACAAAATCGTCAGCTGAGTTTGATCCAGTGCTTTTTCTTGGAGCTTCTTACTTTTCTATTGGTATTTAGCATCAGATTTCTTTAAATAGTGATTAAATTTAACCCACAATTTACCACAATTACACTCATGCAACCCTTGCTTCTATTCTATTCTAAAATACAAATATAACAACTCAAACTTCTGGGACTCCAGATGAAAATGTACCCGTGCCACAATTCTTAGAGAACTCTGGAGCCGAGGAAGTGAAATTTCCCAGTTGATTTGAGGTTTGCTTTGTTGTTACATGGCATGTTTAAGAAGCTTTTCCTTTGAACATAAAATTAATTGAACACAAAAGTCCAAGTCATTTAGATTTTTTTTGAATGATTTGCTTTAAAAACAGAAAACATCTGCTCGTTTTGACTAACAATTTTAAAAACAACATCAAATGTGGTTATAGCGAAGGAAAAGTGTCTGTCATTGCAAAGCTATGAAATGGTGTTTGGCCTAGACCACATCCTCTTATCCAACTAGGAAGATGGTCAAAAGCATCACATAGACGGCGGCTTTTGTCTGGGCCGCTTCACATTGGCTTGAAGATATTGCAAGTTGCTATTTTTCCACCTACGCTGATTTCAATTGAGCGAAAATGAACACTGTCAGCATGTTGTAATTTGTACCTTCTTTTGCATCTCAGACGCAAAACATTCTTCCTCAGCCACTTTAATATTGTGGCGATTACAGGTGTTTATCTTCTTTGTAGATGCTAGACAAACAGGAAATAGTTACGACTGGTCATATCACAGTAGTGGTGCTTGTTAAGGCTTTTTCTATTGCTTACACTTAGGGTTTAGGATTTGAACAAATCCATTTGTGCCACAGATATATCTCGTATCTTTTTTTATGTGATACTTTTCACAGTTTTCATTTGACATGATAAAATGGGCATGAAAAATTGAAGGAACAGAACACTGAAGCGACTAGATACTCGAATCACGTTCTATTCAACCATGAGTGCCCTGCGAAGTGGACTTCACTGGGTTTTTCGCCACCTTAAATGAGATTCCAATATGATACAGACTGGCATAGGGAAAATTACCCACTAGTCTTTGCGAATCTCAGACACTAAAGGGGTTTGAATAAAATGAACACACTAAAAATGAGTTGAGGCTATTTTTTTATTAGTCCAATGTGTTTTGTACAGTTTTGGTCACAGGTATTTGTTGCGGTGCAACTATCATTATTATTGTAAAAAAAAAAAACACATGACATGACAATTTATATAAATTAAAAAATTAACAATAAATTAAAATGTATACGTGTATGTTAAACATAAGCATGGTAATTTACATTACATTTATTTACATAAGCATATTGTGTCATTATATTTCAAATTCCAATTGGAACTATACTGTAGCTTCATTTGTGTATAGGATGATGTTCCAGAGTGTTCCGATATCTTGTGCGTAGGCAAATATGGAACAGTGAACACTTCGTAGGGACCCTGTCAACCAGAACACCGATTTGGTCCTGTAAACCCAGAATACCGTAGCCATGCCCTGGCAACTACCAACAACTACCTAACATTGTGGTGGTGAGTTTTGCACAATCAAGTACAAATCTAGTTTGTATTAATTGTTATTTGTTGTTGTTTTTAATTACGGATCTCATTAGCGTATCAGTGGCGTATTATTTATTGGCATTTTGACTTCAAAAGCTCACCCCATGAAGCATTTCATACTTCTTTTTTATTTTTTTTTACCTTAGCTCTAAAAGCAGGTTTACAGTCTTAGATTTATTAGTCTAGAAGAAGATGAAGCCAAGGTTTCTCAGCACTCAGCATCTGTGTCCAATATTAAAAGTACTACATGTCAGATTGATCTGGCAAAGAGCCTTTTTTTTTGCATTAATCTTTGCATATTTTTACACCAGTTTATTTTTGTGCTGTTCCTGTCTTGTGTCAGTTTATCTTAATTGTGCCAGTAAGGCTCCTGAATTCCTATATTTGGAATATAATTATTTAACATGCACCAGACATTTATGTTTGAGTTGTTCATTCGTGAAAGTTTGTCATTGCAAGTGGTTCTTCTGTTTTCATATGTTGGATTTCATGTAAGGTGATTCTTGGTTAATCAACAGTCAAGAAATCATATACCAGTGTTTTTATGCTTCATCCCGTGATGCTATTAGCCTGTTGAGTACTACAAAGGGTTTGCTGGCACAGGTCAGATGAAGAGGGCAGTATTTTATTGCAGATGTCAAGGCCAGTGATTGATAAGGCTAAAACATAATGCTCTTCAGATGGACATTGTGGCCTATATGCAGAGGGTTGGAGGTATAGTTCTTCAAAGGAGTTCATGCCCTCCTTTATTGAGCCAGAATAACAAGCCTGCATTGATTTAGGCATGGCTTATGTATCTCAATATTTTAGATTCGGGCTTGTTCTGGTGCATTAGCTTTTTGCTGGTTTGGGTAAACTACTAATACGATCCTATTGTTTGCAGTAGTTTTTTTTAAAGGGGTGATGAGCTGAGAAATCAAATTTTCCTTGAGCTTTTGACATCTAAGAGGTTATCATATTATAAGAATATCCTGTAAGTTTCAGAACTGAAAACGTCCTTTTTAATCCTATAAAAGCTATTATTGACACCAGGCTCAGCAATCGACTCATTTTGGAAGTGGGGAACTATGACGTTAAAGAGGATAAAACACCACCCCGCAAAAGAAGATCAAAGCCTACTTCAACACGGCCGGTTAAGCCCCGCCTCTGGGTCGAACATGTATGGGTGAATCATTCCGGTTGCCATTTTACAACATTGGACGTTTTCAAAACAATTTCCCCCAAGTGCATCGACGGGTGAGTTGAAACTCATTATAATATGCAAAACTGTTATCCACTCACAGCAGTGGGTGTTTAATTCTAAGTCTTCAATGCGAGGCGCCCATAAAAACTAGGTAATAGAAAATAGCCTATTACTTATTCATTTTTATGGTTTTGAATGCAAAAACCAAGCAAACATCATAAGTTGACCTCAGACAACAATATAATACAATTTAAAAAGCCAATGAATTCATAACCCCTTTAATGCTTTTCTGCAGGAAATGAAGATAGTCACCGTACTGTAACTGTAATCATATCTGGAACACAATTCTGAAGAATGTTCATGCTACTTTTTTAAACGTAGCTTTTATTTATTTTAAAGTAAAACTGTTCGTTTGGAAGCATTTTGCTCGCCAGAACCTCAAAAACTATTACAACCCTCTCATTTACTGTAGCAACATATTGTTATACCATTATGTTCAGGCATGTGTTTTTTTTTCTGAAGAGTTTTAAATTAGGTTCCTTTAGTGAGAGTGCCTAGAGGGAAATACAATAAATCACAGAAGGGTAAAGTATCACTTCATTGTGTGTTCACGTGTTAAATGGCTTGGAGAGCACTCACTTCAAACACATGGTGAAAATTAAAAGGGAATGTGTGCTTATGGTATTTCCTCACAGTTACAGCCACTGCGTTGCTTATCAAGTCATTCACTGAAACTGAAATTCTATTTTCTCCTCAGCGAAAGCAAATACGGTCTAGTTACTCACATTTTCTCTGTCCTCCATGAGAAGTTGTTCAGTCTCTGCTCAATCAGTGGTCTATGCTAATCAATGGGACAAGATATGGGAATAAGTCCAAATCACCCGTCATTTGTAATTGGATCAATAGCCTGACAGGTGAAGGATTAGACGAAACTCGCTAATAGACAATGAGTTGCATTTACTCACAATTAGTTAACATTTGCATTCTAATGTTGCAGTGACGATCAAACTTGAACAGACCCTTAAATAATATTAGATGTTAATGGAAAACGTGTGTTATAAATTCACCAAGAATTACTGATAAATTTCCCAAATTATGCATCAAGTGTGTGTACCCTTTACTCCTTGAAGCGCTGTAGTCCACCCACACACCATGTACACACATGACGCTGTGATATACTGTTCAAGGGTGAAGGTTCCAGGCTTGTTTTAAGTCAAATAATTACATTGAGGTTTTGACTCCGCTGTCCTCACCTGAAAGCTGATGTAATGCAGTGGAAATCTTCCTTATTTTACAGTGACTTTGTTCCACGTTACACATACTTGCAATTGTAATGACAGCAAATTATGCATAATTTCATCCAATTTACCCTATACCAAAATCTAATCCTAACCCAATAGTAAGTACATGTTATTAATTAATATTACTCTTAAGTGTATAATTAAACTGTAACAAGGACACCTTAAAATAAAGTGTAACCTCTTTTCTGTAGCTCTCTTAAAACATTCTCATATATTTCATTCAAAAACAGTTGTAAACCTGTGTCATTGACCTAATTTCAAACCTGGGATTTTCTCTCTTCAGTGGAACACAAAACAAGAAATTTTGAAGAATGTTCATGCTGCTCTTTTCCTTAAGTAAATCAAGAGATCTGTTCAGGGATTTCGAATAAATTGCACATAAGCTATTAAAAATACATTTTCCAAAGGGGGGTGGGGGTTATTATTGATGCCATAGAGAAGAACAATTTTTGGTTCCCCATAGACCCTTAAATTGAAGAATTAATCTGAAGAACTATTTTTCACTATAAAGAACCTTATATAATAAAAGGTTTCATTG